GAGACATTCATTTTTAGAAACTAATTTATATTTTTTTTTGTATGATCAATCATATAGTAGGTTACCGGGGATATCAGAGAGCATCAGGTTCAGGAGTAGTCTTTTTCGAAATTCCTGAGCATGGTGAACTTCACGGAGAAAAGATTGCATGTTCTTTCACTCCATGGATTCCAAAAGTGGAGGCCTGTGCCCCACAAGCAATCACCAATTTGTCATATGAGACCTGAAATTCCACGGAACCGTAGTCTCGGATTCATCAGTGACAGTCTCACACTTTACCTTTTCCCAAAATCAAAAATCCAAATTCCCACCATTACGAAAAAGCTTCACCTTAAAAAAATTCACTCATCAATTGTATGAAAAATCATAATCTATCAGATATATTATACCAAGTGCTTGTCAGTATCGATGCCAGCACAGTTAGCGAGGAAGAAGTAGGAGCCGGGTTCCCGGGAAATTGCGGGTTGGATCCGGGCAATGGGTTCGGCTACGGACCTGAACTCGAGGGTTCCAACACAAGTGGAAGCCAAGAGTGGCGTGAACACCATGTGGTTCCTCGGCGAAATACAAACGACGTCGTAGGTTTTGGTGTCAACGCCTTTCATAAGCCGGCAAGCGGCCCAACCGGAGCCCAAAACCACCACCCTGGGCTTCTCGCCGCGCTTAGTGGGTCCCAGCCCCTCGAACCCTGGATAACAAGCGCTGGGAGCAGCCGTTGATGCGGTTGGCGGTGACTGGCATTGACGGTCATGATTGATTTGTTGATGGGTACTGAAATGTGAGAGGAAAATGGGAAAGCATGGATTTAATGCTCTGGGTTTGATCGAAGATTTGATGGTCGTGATTTGGATCAGGTTCTTGAACCAAACCATGTCTGTTTTTTATGATGATGATGGTATTCAGTCTTCCATTATATATATGTATACATGGATAAATAAATGAGAAGTGAAAACGTAGTAAAATCAAATCAAATCAGACACCTCTTAAATCATAAGTGACTTGATCGTAAAATTTCAGAAATTGGTATTTGTTTTTGGATTTAGGGCGCTTAAAATAATATTATCCTGAAAATACATGTTTAAATAATAAAAATTAATAATTACGTTATTTAATTTTTATAAAAGTTTTAGTTCTAAAAATCGTACAAATAATAATTTCTTACCTTTTTTTTTTTGTTTTTAAAATTTATTATTTTACAAAATATCTTTGAATATTTTTTGCTGGCGTTTTTGTTGACTGCAAAATATACGTGGCAGTTGGTGGAGCGTACCATTTCTGGGGAGCTAGATGACGTGTTTCTCTGGTATCATGAGAGCACATGCTTACTCATACTCAGAATATGCAGTCTGCTCCTATTGGGATTAAATTTTTTAAATTTTATATTTATAAAGTAGCATAGTAATTAAGATTTTTGTATTCTATTTAAAAATTATAAACTCAAATATTTTAAAAAATTTAAAATTTGTTACTCATAAAAATATATTATATTTTAGTTGTGATAACTTGAAACTTCATTCGTGTTAATTTCATATATTTAATTTAATTTTATATATGTTTAAAAATATATAATTAAGTTAAGAATATAGTGTAAAGTTAAACAGAAAAATGATGGATAAGGATGAAGGAGATAGAATAAGCATGAAGAGGCATGAGAAAATATGATAATATTTTAAATGAGATGATATAATGAAAAGTGATAATTACTAGATAAAATGATAACTTTTAGATGAAATAACATGTGAAAATTAATAATTTTTTAGATGAAATGACATGTGAAAATGTCTTTTAGATAAAATAGTATGTAAAAAGTTACCACTTTTTACATGAAGTGATATGTTAAAAGGTCTTTTAGGTAAAACGATATGTGAAGAGTGGTAACCTTTTAAGTAAAGTGATATGATGAAATGTGACAACTTTTAGATCAAATAGTAAGACGGAATAGTGACAACTTTTTCTGCGTGGCTCTCCACTCTTATAAATGGGGGATAAGAGAAGGGAGGAAGAGACATTCCGAATGAGAGAAAAATAATAATAAGCATAGAGGTGAAGGAAGAAGATGGAGTACGAAATGTGTGATATTTGATAGTATTTTGAGATTTTAGATAAAAATCTTGGGGAAACTTTCCTAAATTTGTGAGAACAAAGAAAGAAGAAGAGAAAAAGAATAAGGCTCACGATCAAAAGGAAACTATAAACCGTTAGAAAGGTAAATTTTTTCTTAAGTTTTGAAGTTCGGTTTCTCTTTAATTTTTTAAATTAGTTTTTGAGTATTGTGTTGGATATTTTTGAGTTAACAAAGTGACCAAAAATCATCTCGAAATTCTGCCAAAAATTTTAAAGTAAAAAGTCATAAATAAAGTCAGAACTCTGTCGAAATTAAGACTACGACTGCAAAAGATCTAAA